TTTTTTTTTTTTTTTTTTTTTTTTTTTTTTTTTTTTTTGTTTTTGTTTTTGTTTTTGTTTTTTTGTTTTTGTGCATGGAAACCGTTTAGGTGGGTAGGTGGGTTGGTGGTATCTTGATTTTATTAGACCAACGCAAATAGTGAATCATCCAAACAAACAGAGACATTATGCTTTCAAATCTGAGATGAGAACTCCATATGTAACTCAATTTAGATTTAAAATAATAATAATTTAAAAAATGTTATCAGTCTGGACTCACCCCCGGCAGTGTCTTCTGTTCATGCAGTGCGCTCTGGGCCTTTAGAGCAGACTCCCTTTCGCAGTATGTTAGGAAGGCACAGCCTGTAAACAAAAAAACATAACCTCAGTGACAGCACTACTTCAGAGAAGATCCATTTAAAATTGAGACGTAGAACAAACCATTTTCCTGTCATCATCCCATTCCCAGTAAATCAATCATAAAAATCTCTCCTTAGCAAGGGAGTAATCGAGAATCATGAAATGAAGCTATCATCGCTTCCTCTGAGGCCCGATGGAAAGTGAGCAACAGTGTACCTAGGACTGCTTATTTTATTTTGAATGCATATTTAAGTGTCAGATACAGAAGGATGCACAAGATTAGGGATCTCAAAGATTCCATGAGACAGCAAGGTGGGACATGAGATCCTACTCCTGCTCCAGCAGCAGTACTGGGAATAAACCCTTTATTGCCATATCATGTTGAAGGTCTCATGCCCTTCTTTCGTATCAAGTACATTTGGTAGAGGGTATACAAGGACTTAGGACTCACACTGAAGAGGAGTACTTCTTTTGTTTAGCCTGGTTTGCATGCACAAGCAGTTGCCCAATTTGCATCTCACCAGAAGGCTTCCCCCCCTGAACTTGCTGATGCAAGGGCTCACTGGCTCCCACCCATACACACAACCACGTCAAAGCCCAGGCAATCAGTCCAAAACATCCCTGATCCATAGATCATCAGCACTTCAGAGATGCTCCAATGGATTAAGCCCTTGGTTCTTCTGAAAAGTTGTCTTATCAACTACAAAGGCCAAGGCCCTGTCAAGGTTCTGTCTTCCCTCCCCACATCCATGTTTGCCTTCTTGAAAAACTGGTTGATGTTGCAATGTCTCACTCCAGTTGTGTGCCTGATGTGATCAAATTATTTCTTCTTACTGCAGTATACTGAAAACCTGCCAGTCCCTGCAGCAAAAAAAAAAGTGCTTGTTATGCAGAGGACATTTTCTCTGAAATTACTTCAGTGTCTACCACCTCTCCAGCTCCTTGAAATGGAGGTATCATATCTTTCAAGGTTCAGGAAGCATATCCCTCAAACTATGGGTACCTTGCAAGAGCAGCACAAGTATAGAGAGACCATCAAAGAAACATACATGTTCCACAAACATGTTCCATAATCTAATTTTGACCCACTCACCTTCTCCCTATGCATATATAAAATATGAACAAGTGAGTAAACAGTAGACTATGAACTTTTTTTCAGCTTTGATTATTGCTGTGGAATTTTGTCCACTGTTTTTCCCAAGCTGGTTCCTTGGATAATATTACTGAAGAAATACAAACTTGTTCTTTTCTTCCTTACAGTGCTTTTAACTAGTATATGCAAGAGACTAGGGAGATTTTTTTCATATAAATATACATATTTTTTCTCAAAGATTGTCTTGTGGAAGTCACCCTTCTTCTCTGACAATAAAGATGTAATTTTGCATGAAAAAAAACCAACCAATTTTTTCACTATTTCTTACACTGTATTAATACTTTCTGGAGGTCTTGTTACTTTCAGCTTATTCAAGCCAATCACATTTATTATGTCTCAGTAACTGAGAGTCATAAGCAGAAGGTGACAATCAGGGAAGGAGACTGAGCAGCAGCAAAAGTTTGCATACTCGACTTGGAATTATGTTGATTTCTTCCCCTTTAAGTGGATGAGTTTTCAGTTAGTCTGTATCTATCAAAGAAAGGGAAGAAAGAGTGGCGGAGAGTTTGAAGCTAGCAAAAGTAATGGATTGATAAGGATCCTTAAAAGTCACCCATAGCTCAATATTCAAATGGGAAACTATGCTTAAATTTAATTTCAGTGACAAATCACAGGCTGAGAGCTCTCTGTTTACTAGACACAATAAGAAAGTCTTCCTTTAGCAGCAGACGTGGAGCAGCTGATACAGTCTAATTAAGCACATTATAGCACGCTGCTTTAGAGATAAACTATGCACTATTCCATAATGATAGCTATATTTTTCTCCTCATTGTGATGGCCATGATGACAGTTCGGGGTAACAATGTCCTGCAACTCCTACAGTATCATGACTGCAGTTCAGACAGAGTAGACAGAAGACGACTCTGCTCTGAAGGAGCAAATTTCCCTTCTGAGATCCACACTGCGTGTGTGTGGAGGTAAGTTCTCATCAGGGAAAAAGCTCCATTAAGTCCTCTCCAAACATGTTGGTGAAGGTGGAAGTGCCAAACTCCCAGAAACAGTACTTATAGAATGCGTCCAAACATCACTGATTTCCCAAACATGGTTTTATGGACAAAAAGATGGTCAAATGGAAAAGGAATCTACCCTTTCATATGGTCAGACAAAAAGCCATCCTGTTTTCCAGGGTCAAAAAACATGCTCCTTTGAAGTGTTTAATTTTCCCTTCTCGTTCATATATCATGCACATTAACTACAATCTGTCCCACTCTTGTTGGGCAAAAAGTGATATTTTTATGGAAAATAATATCTCATTTATTTTAAGTAAGACCTTGTTGCTTAGAGACAGCAAGAGGTTCCATCCCAACTGGATGGCCAAATGGAATAAAGTAGAGCTTAATTGTTCATAACTGGTCTCAAACTTGAACTTGAAAAAGAGAATGTGTATTTTTTGTCTTCCCTTTACTTACCACCAGATTGTTCTGTAAGGCACATATATGACATTAGCCATCAGTTAAAACAGTATTTTTCAAAAATATGTGGTCTCTGATAAAATAGTACATATCTATTATTCGGTCCTGAAAGTATTTCTGTATTTCAGATCCTTGTGCATTAAGATGAGAGGCAATGCTATTTCTTGGACCCTCCTAATCTGCCTGCTCCACCCATTCACCCCCAAAACATTAAAATAATTGATCTATCCTTTGTATTGTTGTGTTTGATGGAATGACAACAGTAGAACCTCTTTCAGGTGTTACTTTTCCTGGGTTACCTCTATGAATGTGCATCCATACGGTCCCTCCAAAGGGCTCGTCCGTGCTGGAAACTGTTGCTTAAAGAACAGAGCTCTGAACACTCAGGTGAGCACTACAACATACAACAACCTAAATAACTGAGTCCTGAAATCATGTCATATGGAGCAGATATATTAGGTTTTACAAAGAAAAGAAACTGTTGGAAAAAGTGGTTAGGTGTTTTTTTTTTCTTTTTTTTTTTCTTCATTTTGATTTCCCAGATGGAAAACAATTTCAGAAGAATCAATTTTCCCTGATGAAACTTATGATTGTGTACAGAATCACTTATTTTTCTGGGAAAAAAAAAATTTGTTAGTAAGCTCTTAAGTAGCTCAACAACTCGCCATCAGCTGTTTGAGCTGGATGTGAACACGATTTTTGGGTGAAAGGATTCATATTCCATTATAAATAATTTTCATTATCCAACCCCTTTGAATTGCCCCTGTTCAGCATCATAATGAACATTTCTCAACACATCTCCTAAGGAAAGTTGGTGTAAAGCCTATGCATTATTTCTGTCATCTACTATGGGTGGTAATAGCTGAGTCAGTACAGTGCTTGTGAATTATTTCTGAATTTGAAGAAAAAAAATCTAATTGACTAATTATTGATAATGAAGGACTTGCTCTTAGTTGTTCCTAATTTCAAATCCATTTCTCTCAAACATGCCATGATTTCCAGACATATGTCAATCAGCTAAAAGATGCTTTGTTTGTATTGTGTCTTTCCAGCTGTTCATTTACTACCAGTGGACAGCTTTTTGGGCAAGCATATAAACATCTGGAAACTCCCAGCTGCCAATTAACTCTCAACCTATTGAACTGCAGTCTCTCGGAAACATGAGAACATATCAAGTGGTCTCCTGGGAAACAAGGTTGTTAAAGAGAAGGAGGAAACAAAAACAAAAACTTGAGATGGAAAAAAAATTACAAAAGCTCTATTTTAATTTTATCTCCAGAGAATTCAATAGCGCAAATAATAATTGTCTGGAATACAGATGGATAATAGTCATGAGTACAGCAACTTCAAGTCTCCAGAAGATTTTGCACAAGCCTAGAAGGCAAAACAGTCAGGGGACTGAACAGTTCACAGAACAGACACTGTGAACTGAACAGAATAATTCTGGAACCACCTGAGTTGCAGAAGACAAAGGCAGGGACTGGGAGAATGGAGAAAAACCTACTGCAGCAGAAGATCAGGTTTGAGATCATCTAAGGGACCTGAAGATGTACAAGCCCATGGAACCTGATGAGATGCATCCGTGGGTCCAGAGGAACTGGCAGGTGAAGTGGCTAAGCCCCTATCCGTCGTATTTGAGGTCAGAAGACCAGAGAAGTTACCACTGATTAGAAAAGGGGAAAAAAATCCCTATTTTTAAAAAGGGAAAGGAGGAAGACCCAGGGAACTACAGACCATGTCTGGCAAGATCATGGAGCAGAACCTCTTGGAAAACATGCAAAGGCACATTTAATAAAGGATGTGATTGGTGACAGCCAACATGGCCTAACAAATGGCCATTTGTGCCTTACAAATTTGGTGGCCTTCTGTGGCGGGCTACAGCACTGGTGGGAAAGGGAAGAGTAACTGACAACACCTACCTGGATTTGTCCAAAGTATTTGACAATGTTCTTTACAACATCCATATCTCTAAAATGGAGAGACGTGGATTTGAAGGATGGACCAGAGGAATTACCTGGATGGTCACATTCAAAGCGTTGCTGTCAGTGGCTTAATGTCCAGTTGGAGAGTAGTGATGAGAGGCATTCCTCAGGGTCTGGTGTTTGGACTGGTACTGTTTAACATCTTTACTGGTGACATCGGCAGTGGGATTGAGGGCACCCTCAGTAAGTTTACCAAAAAGAAACTTGGTTTGTGGTGGGGTTGACACTCTAGAGGGAAGGGATGATTATCCCGACGGACCTTGACAGGTTGGAGAGGTTGCAATTCCCGTTCAAATCTCGTGAAGTTCAACAAGACCAAGTGCAAAGAACTTTGCCAGAGTTGGGACAAACCCAACACAAATAGAGACTGGGCAGAGAATGGATTGAGAGCAGCCCTTATGACATGGATGAAGGATATAGAGATGCTGGAGATAGTCCAGAGGAAACCAGAAAGGT